TCAGAAGGAAGACTGGGCAATCTACTTCCATAATGATACCACCTCAGAAAGCCAAGGAGGGGTCGCTGTGAGTCAGATCCGACTCAACAGCAGTGAGTTTGGTTTGGTTTTGGGTATGTTCATCATAAAAGCAGCAAGATGGAAACAACCTAGGTGCCCATCAACCAAAGAATGGATAAACAAACTGGTACACACACAATGGAATATAATGCAACATTAAAGAATAATGTAGAATCTTCAAAACACCATAGAATGTGGATGAACTTGGAGGACATTATGCTGAGTGAAATAAGCCAATCACAGAAGGACAAATATTGTATTAGCTTATTATTGTAAAAAGTCATGGAAAGATTTATATATGGAAGGAAACTTTCTTTGTTGGTTACTGGGGAGTGTGTGGGGGGGGAACACTGCAAAAATAAAAAATAATAAATTTTTTTTAAAAAATTAGCCATATACATTACAAAAGCAACAGAAGACAGGGTTGGAGTAACTTCTTAGAGATAACCAAACATCTTGTGAGAATCACAGGGCCTGTGGGCTCAGGACCATAGTCTCGGGGGGCATCATGCTCAATTGACACACATAGTTCATAAATATTTTGTTCTACAACCTACTTTGGTGCGTAGTGACTGGGGTCTTAAAAGCTTTCCAATGGCCATCTAAGATGCAACTACTGGTCTCTTCTCATCTGGAGCAAAGAAGAGTAAAGAAAATCAAAGTCATATAGAGACAATTAGTCCAAAGATAAGATGGACAATGAGGACCTCCATGACTCCGAGACCAGAAGAACTAGATGGTGCCCAGCTACCAATGCCAACCACTCTGAAAGGGATCAAATCTGGAGATCCTGGAGAGAGTGGGAGGAAAAATGAGGAACAAAGTTCAAAAACACAAAAATGACCAGAATTACTGGTGGGAAAGAGACTGGTGGAACCCCCCCGACTATGGCCTCTGTTTACCCTTTGGGACTAGGAATGGACTCACTTCCATGGATTGGCTCTTAGAACAATAGTGGAAAGACCTGCATATAGAACACCTACCCAGGTTGATGCACCCACCTACTCTAGAGAGATGTACCCCTTGGATCAATCAGCCATGAGACTCCAGAGGGGCAGCATTCACATAGAGGGAACACTGGACAGACAGGAGTGCATGGTTAAGAAGGGCATAAGGAGAGGGTGGTCACAGGATGGGTGGAAGGGGAGTTTTTTATGGTTGGGGATGGTAATCGGGGCGTGAAATCAGATGTACATGAACTGTTGAATGTAAAACAAGTTTACTTTATAAATTTGCAACCAAAACACAATTAAAAAAAAAAGAAAGAAAGAAAAGGAAATGAATAAACCTTTGGAGTGGAGAGAGGAGGAAGTAATAGAAAGGAGCCAGCACCATTTGTTAAAGAGGCTATCACTTCCCCATTTAATGGGCTTTGGGCCTTTGTCAAAGATCAATTGTCCAAAGATGGATGGGTCTATGTCTGAGCTTTTGATTCTGTTCCATTGGTCTATCTGTCTATCATTGTATCAATACCATGCTGTCTTGACACTACGTGGCTTTATAGTAGTTCTTAAGATCTGGGAGTGTGAGACCTCCCACTTTGTTTTTCTTCTTGAGAAGTGCTCTGCTTATTCTAGGTCTCTTTCCTTTC